CATCAACCTAACTCTGATAAAAAACATCACTAAACCATGTCTCTAAGCACTATGTCAACCCATCTTTTAAATACCTCCAGGGATGGTGCCTCAGCCACTTCCCTGGGCACCCCATTCCAATGCTTAATAACCCTTTCCATGTAAAAATGGTTCCTAATCTCCAATCTGAACCTCCCCTGGTGCAACTTGAGCTGTTTCCTCTTGTCCCATCGCCTGTGACTTGGGAGAAGAGACCAACCCCCCCTGGCTACACCCTCCTTTCAGGAGAGAGCGAGAAGGTCTCCCCTCAGGCTCCTTTTCTCCAGGCTGAACACCCCCCAGCTCCCTCAGCTGTTCCTCGTAAAACAACCCAGATTTTCTATTCTCTTGCTCCGAGACACTTGCTCCCACAAGCAAGTGGTGTCCCCTCAGGATACAACCACCACCATCTCAAATGGTGCTATCTAGCACCCAGGCTTCAACCCTGAGGGCAACAACGCAGCTACCCATGAGACCTGCCCTGCTCCTCACTGCCCAGCTTCTTGTAAAACATCCCCAGAATCTCTATCACTTCATAAAACTTTAAAACCAAAACCTGCTTGGGGATATTTATACCGTTTGAGATCATTTCCCCCAGACTGACTGTCATTCCTGTTTTATAGATTACTGGCAGCTCCCAGCACCCTTTGCTGGGAAAAAGAAGGTTTGATAATTTCAACAGCCTTTGAGAACTTTGCTTTAAACAAAAACAAACAAACAAAAAAACCCTCTACTTCATCATCCTGTAAAGTTTTGTTAGATTCCAGGTGTAACACACACACACAGACACAGAGCAAGCATTTTAAACAAAAACAAACAAACAAAAAAACCCTCTACTTCATCATCCTGTAAAGTTTTGAAACAAACAAACAAACAACAAAAAAACCCCTCTACTTCATCATTCTGTAAAGTTTTTTAGATTCCAGGTGTAACACACACACACAGAGCATTCAGTACCCTGTCAAAGGAGACACCTGAGAGAGTTTTAAGGACAGTTTTCAGCCGATTTAAATTGGCTCAGATTATGATTTATTTTTTTTTCTCACAACTAGAGCTACCCCAAAGAGTCCTCTCCCATCTACAGACACTTGATTTGCTGTCCACACAAGCATCCCAGCTAATTAGTGTTGCAGTCAGTGCTGCCAAGCACTTTGTGCCTACCTTTCAACCCAGCTTGTGCTCAAGGACACAGGTTCCCCTTACACTGCTAGGACAGGGAGCATTCCTCCGGTGGGTGGGTATCTCAGTTACATTTTGCCTAAAAAAAGGCTAGGAAAAGTTGTCAAGCATTTCTAAATCAGCCATGAGCACCTGAGCAAGAGACAGCAGGAACATCCAGAACTCAGCCTTCCTCCTTTTCTACCCTGAGTTCTGGGCACTTTGTTTTTCCACCCCTTATTGATCCAGCTCCCCACAGAGCCAGTCCCTAACACCTCTTCCCACAGGTCCTTCAGGAAAACAAACTCTGAAAAAGCACACGGTGAAGAGGAGCATCCCTCAAACAGAGCAAGACAACAAACTCTTGTCCAGTTTCCTCCTGCCAGACAGAGCTCCAAACACCATCATTGCCTCCACCCCACCAGCCAGGGCTGCTCTCCTTCCAGAGAGCTGGGACAACCTTCATCTGCTCTTCCAGTGCTCTGCAAACCAGCCACAGCTAGAGGGAGAGCAGACAGCAGGCAGAAAGAGAAATAAACACTGAAACCACTGAAAAGGCAAACATGCAAACAATGTTTATGCCAAACAAACAGCAAACACGACACTTTCTTTGCCAAAAAAACAAACAAACCCAAGCTGCAGTTAAGAACCAAATTGCATTTGGCATGTCAATGTAAGATGTAATAAAAGGACACGTGTTTGGTCCTTGCACACTGAGCCCCTGCAAGATGCAACTAAACTAGCCCCGGCCTGAGCTGAAGCTCCATTAATACCAGGTCAGGGATTCTGCAGGATTATGGTCTCAGCAAGAGGCACAAGATCATTGCCCACGCTGGCAGGCCATCTTTCCCATCTTGGGTTTCAGGATAAAGGGAAAGAAAACACCTCCACTGTTAAGAATGTGAGATCATAAGGCATAGTCCTAGAATTTCAAAGAGCCATAAGGGAGGAGACATTTCCAACCCTTATGGCTTGTGTATTCTCAAGAGTAGCCAGGGCACAGAGGCTATTTTAAATTCAAACTGCTTGTGACAGAAGAAGTAAAAACACTATACCCTTTCTAAGCCTGAAGATAGAAGTCACCTAAGTAGCAACAAAGAAACACTATTTCTTCCCCAAACATCAAAAAAACAGTAGAATTACATGACTGACCAGCAGATGCAGCTCCTCCACTCCACGAGGGTCCAGAACCTGCTCATCAACACTGCTACTACAAATGCCTACCCAGCCCTTCACTGCTGGTTATTTATTGGGGGAATACTGAGTCCTGGAAGCCTTGCAGGCAATTATCTGCCCTGCAGGCAATTAGCTGTCCTGCAGGAAACGGGGTGCACCTGAATCCCTAATGGTCTTTCCGTCTTCATTGACACCAGCCTAACCTGAGCATCAAATAAAGCTGCTTGAGTGAGAACAAGCTCTGTAATCAATGATGGTTTGGTAATTTAGTTCCATAGGTATGGGCCAGGACACAAAGCAATAAAGACTGAAGGTCTTCTTGGTACTTTGTTCTATTTTCACAGGGTCACCAGCTCCTGAATTGTCTGTGGAACCTCAACAGATTCAGCTCGCTGGAGTCTGCTGTTTGGACCCTCTCCATCACAGTAGTTACAATACCAAAGTACGTGGTGTTATTTTTTACATATCATGTAGTATTAATGCCTATATAGGGCTAATTTTCCTCTGCTTTTTTGTTTGCTTCGGTCACCAATTTAGAATGGTTTTCAAATTACCCTCCAGTTTTGCTTGAGGACTAAGCATTTAACCAACATCCCGCAGGCTCCTCTCAGAGAAGAGCCTTGGAAAGGGTCTCTCTGATTTCGTCATCCTCCTCAGGCCTGATTTATAACCTGCACCTATTTATACCAAGAGTTTTATATGACAAACTAATCATTTTGCCTGACGGTTAATAGCCCGTCCTTCAAGGGGAGTTTACATGTGCTGGGCTCTCTCCTCTGGAGGGAGGAAAGGCAGGTGATCCCCGCTAATCCAACCTAAATACCCCTGGAGTCAGTCTGGAGCGTGGCAGTGGAATCATTTACAAAACGTGAAATTTGAATAGAGCTTAAAACCTCGTAACCTGTCAGCTCCCAGCCAGGGTAAATACTCAGGGAGAGCCCACATCGGGAGCGTCGCTGCGTGGGAGACGGCTTTGATCCACCATCAGTATCTTTAGGAAACATTCACGTGAGAGATCTCCAAACCCTGAATAGTGAGCACAGCTCCCTCCTTCTGGAGAGATCTGCAGAGAGCATTAACACCCACAAAACCATCCTGATTTGCATGAGTTTTGTCGGAATCTGAACCATAGACACAGCTAAAAGCTTGATGGGGATCCTTGCAAAGGTCGTGTGAAGCCTTTGGGGAGGAAGGGGCTGGGAGGAAGATGAGTGAGCAAGGGCATGGTGAAGACAGTGAAGACACAGTAAATATCAGCTGATCTGTGTGGGGTGTCACAATAACCTTTTAGAAAGTGTTCTTGAGGTGGTATATGGTACCTGGACAGTTATGGCTGAAGGTGAGTCTGTGGCAAACTTTTCTGGAAAGAACTCAAAGATGAGGGTAAAAAAAACTTGTTCCAGTAAGAAAAGATGGACTTTTCCTCACCTCCAGTTTCCCTGAAACTCTAACCTTAGATATTTTCAATAAAAAAATTGCAGCAACTCTTTGCTTCCTATTCTGCTAGGACCTCGATAGTGGGGTGCCCTCACCTTCTCCTTCTGCCTCAGCTCGGACAGATACTGCACTGAGCACTCCAGAATGACCCAGAAATATAAAAAAAATACACACAGCCATTTAATTTGTGTCTCTTTTAGACTTCTTCCCTTGCATGCCACAAATAGCCAGTGCCACTGGGGGGGATTAACACACTTGGCAATTAAACCACAGGCTCAGCCGCATGGGTTTAATTTTGTTGTAAACAGCTTCTTCATGCTGAACTCGGTCCTCCTGAGTTCTTAAATTTTCTTGGACTATAAATTTGATGACTACAAAGGAGCATTGGAACCTTGCTTGGCACAGTATTCATCTCCTTACTCTCCAAAGACCAGGGTGTCTGTCCCAGCTCCAGCCCAGGCAGGAGCTGTGTCCATGTGAGCTGGGAGATTTGTGCACCTCAACACCACCAACCCCCAGTTTCAGATCAAGTCTTGACTCTTTTGACCCATGCTGTCCCCAGCTCACTGCTGGATGGACAATCTCCTGCTGGTTGGGGCTCCAGGATACAACCGCAGCCTGGTAGCCTTCAGAGCTAAAAGACTTTTCTTTTTTTTTTTTAAAAAAAGAAAGATTAAGAGCCTTTTGGCCAAAAGACCTTGGTGATGCACAGGAAAGCTCCCTAAGGGACAACCCTCAATCCTGAGGATAAAAAGAGTTGATCAAAACCCCACTAGCTTTCCAGTTGATAGTGAACTTGGGACAAATCAAGAGACACCATGTCTATTTTCTCTGCTAATTTGGCTTCTTGCCCCAGTTCCAGCCCAGTCTGACACAAGCTTTCTCTGCTGGCTGGAGCAGAAAGGCAACGTGCCACCCAGAGAGACACCAGGGATAGACCTTCACTTCTCTCTCTGACAGTGGCCCCAGGAAAAATCACTCCTCCTGCCCAGGGCAATTTAAATCTTCACTGTTCAGGATGTGTGTTCCTCAGGGTTGTCTGACACAGGGGAAATGCCTGTCAGCACAGCACTCCTTAGATAAATAAGAGAGAACAGGTATAAAGACATTAAACAGGTATAAAGACAATAAACAATTCATCTCCTACTAAGATCATAAGAGCAAAACACGGCAAAAAAGGGGAAAAAAAGAGTCACAAATCCCAAAACAAAGTCTGACAAACACTTTTAGTTCTACAACAAAATAAATATTTTAGCTCTGGTTTACCAAGAACAGTGAGATTTGGTTCAAAAAAAAAACAAACAACCAACAAACACAACCTCTATAGGTATAACAACATATGCTGAATGTCACAACACTGTGATTCTGTCGCTGTAAGTCATGCACGAAACAGCCCAATTTATTACAAATATTCACGCAGTACAAAGTACAGTCTAGAAATACATGCTGGGATATTGCCCTGACTACACTTACTCCATCAAAGCCCAGTGTAAACAGCCAATCTTTCTCCATGGGGTTTAGTGATATTGATGTGTGGTTTGTGCTTTGGGAAGCTCCAGAAGCGAGAACTTCTGCTCCTTGCTACGCCTTCCATAGCTGTGGACTCCCCTCTGCCAGTTTACGCTTAAAAGGACATTCTCCCCAAACGTACTGGGAAAAAAAGAAAAAAGCCCTAGGAATTCTGGCACGTATTGTGGAGAATGAATACATAAACATTGGTATCTGCTCTATTTTAGACACGGGTCCAGTTGAAACAACCGCATTCCACTGACTGGGAAGTGGAATTTACCTGTGTTGACTTGTGTAGCAGCACAACTTGATTATTGCCTCTCCTTCCTCCTCCAGCAAGCATCACTTCAATGTGTTCTTCACAAAGGAAAAAATACCATTTAGTGCCCTTAAAGATCTGTCTCAAGGTATTTATAATGGAGATGAAAACAAACGGTTTCAGCCGTGTGGGTGTTACAGCAGATTTTTCCACAGCTCCTGAAACAAGACATCTTTGCAACCATCCATCTCAGCAGCTTTGGTGCTGGGGATGCAGAAATATCATCTATTGAGGCACCTCAACAGCAGCCCCAGCCACGGATGACATTTCTCTCATGCCTTCTGCCGTCCCCAGCAATCTGCCTTTTCATTGCACAAAGACATCGCAGTTGATCAAAAACTGCAACGCTTTCCAAGGGATCTCTTCCATTCACTGCAAACATTCAAGAACAAGTATCTGGACTTTATTTTGGGGCCTTGCTACTGTCTATTTCTGCCAGTTACACAATCATTGCCTCTGCTAAGTTGAATCAATAAAAGGGCCAGGTGTCTGTTGAAAGGGAAAGTTACAGAGCCACATTAAAGGAGTGTGGTTTTTTTAATCACAAGGCTATTACCACATCGTGGGTAACACCTTAACCCCATGAAATGTCAACACCCTTTTACTTTGTTAAAATGAGTTTATAGCCTGGAGCTATACGCAAAGCTGCTTTGGGGGCTCAATCCCACACGCTTACATTTGCAAATAGATTTGTAGAAATGCAGAAAACGTTCACTGGACGGTCTTTGACAGCACTTTCAACCTCCTAGTAGAGCTCAGACAGGCTCCCCCTGACCACCTGATGGAATTAAGTTTTGCCTCCTGTTTTCTGTCGTTATTTTGCTGCAGTTCAACAAGCAGCAAAGAGGTGACACATCTGATCCCGGGCTGCAACCCTCACTGTCTTTGCCAGGTTTTTGACACCCCGTGTGATGCATTTGACACATTTACAATCAATTTCACGGCACCTGAGAGGATCCTGTTTACGTGACGCAGTCCAAAACCACATGTATATCTTACTAAAACATAAGAACATACGTAAGGGAGTTCATGCTAGAACTGGTGCCATTTGGCCTCACCTTTTCATAAAAACAAAACTGCGCAGGCAGCGAGGTATTCAGCTTCATCAATAAGATCAAGGAAATACTTAGAAATAAAGAACCACAATTAAAGAGCTCAGACCTTGGATTCCCATTTTTGAAGCAGGCACTGTCTGAAAATTCAACATGCTTCTTGTCAAATATATCCAACCCTGAACATCAGTGAGGACCTATACCACTTACAATTGTATGAAAAAAGCAGTTTTGCTGGCAAATCTTTGTCTTCTTCCTCCACAACACATAGAATATAGTCACTATTTTACTTCCCCTCTCAATCCTTCATTTACAAGCTCAAACACCCCACAATTAATCCCCCAAAAACATGCTGATTACAAGTGCTATTGTGAAATAAAGTTATAAGGTAACAAATTCCAAATCTCAGTGTATTGTTTAGTGAGCATCCAGTGAAGCACAAATTAAATATTACAGAGTTTGCTTCTGAATTATAAAAGTCTATTATTTTTTTTTTTTTCAGATGAACAAACCGGAGTGGACCTTGAGAAGCAGTAGCCTCTGAAAGCAAGCTGAAGTATCTGTGAAAGGAAAGGCTCTTTGCTTGTTTAAAAAGATGCCAACAGTTACAGGAAGCAGTCTTCAAGAGGCAAAGTAAAGGTTTCTTCAGTCCAATACACACTGCAAGGTTCTGATTCACGTCCTTCCCTGCCACGCTGCTGCAGCCCACGCTACGCGCCCATGAACATGCCCATGAAATCAGACCCATTCTGGATGGTGACAGGAGCTCCAGCACTGTTGTCCACAAATATGGAGGTGTACTGGCCAGCCTGCAGGGAGAATGAGGAAAAAGAAAACATCTGACACTCCATAAGGAGGAAAAAAAAAAGCATTTCACTACCATGAACTAAGAAAAGAAATCTCCTGCCCTTTCCTGTGGCTCCTGGGAGTGGGATCCAACCACGTTTTTACTGCAGCACTACAGCTTTGACTCAGTGGAAGAAACTTTCTGTAATGAAATCATGTCATAGGTTTATTTCTTAACTAGATCCTTACTGCACTGGCATCTTTTTGGCTGAATAGTCAAGTGGCCACCTGTGCTTCCGATTCCCTTCTGTGAAACAGGAAACACAATTCCCATCTTGACAATGCAAGGGGAGATTTGAGAAAGAAGAATATTTACTGGCATTTCTTAGAGGGAAGGTTACTGCTGCTTCTGTTCCTCTTCCTGCCACTCTCTAGTCACCCCAGGTAAGGCATTCAACTTCATTAACTTTAGAAAGAAGGATAATGAAAACTTCCCCACCTCCTGATGAGAATTCAGCCTTGCCAGTAAGTAGCTCCACAGCCTGCCAAGCAAACCAGTACAGCCATTCCCAGTCTGCAAGGCCTTACCTGCAGCTGCAGTAAGCCGTGTACGTAGATAGTGAAGATTTTGCTGTTACTTTCCAGACCAGCGATGACTTCCAAAGACCTAAAGAGCAGCAAAAATAAAAATAAACAGGTTAAGGCAGTCATAACAGCTGTACGTGGAATGACAATATGCTCATGACTTCCCTAGAAAGAGGACCTGGTGTTTCTGGTGCCCATCTGTATTTGATTCTGTACTTGATTCTGGCAGTGATCAGCTGCCTTGAAAAGAGAACAGTAGACCCTCATCCTCACCGTGGTGTCTAATGGAAGATTAACAGAGCACAATGGACTGTCGATGCAGAACTTGGCTGGAGGCAGGAACCGGGAGCCACCTTCTCTCACAGAGGCCTTTCTCAAGGTCCTGCAGTCTCTATCCTCCACCCTTGAATAGCTGCTAAACATGCCCTTTCGATTTATCTACATGCCAGTTATCCCAGTTTGTTCACCACCACAACAGCTTGTACTCCTGTTATTCTGCACACAGCTAGCTACATGCATTCTGCCAATAACAGTTAATTCATTTTCAAGGTGTGAATGGTCCATTTCACCTTAACAATATATAGCCAGTTATCCCAGTTTGTTCACCACCACAATAGCTTACACTCCTGTTATTCTGCAAAGAGCTAGCTACATGCGTTCTGCCAAAACAGTTCATTCATTTTCAAGGTGTGAATGGTCTGTTTCACCTTAACAATATATGTTGTCAGCCTATGTAAGAAAGAACATGTTCTACAGCTGAAAGGTGTTTGGGGAGGATGGGATCAGGGGTCACATACAAGCCAAAAAAATTAATAAATTGCACTTCAGTTAAAATTCAAGGGATAGCTCCAGGTCACCTCCTCAAGTCCTGTTCTTTTCTAATACCATGTCCTAATAGCCATCATATTCCTTGCACTAGTAAGACATAGGACAACTGCTCTCTGTGGCATCCTCTACAGAACTCTTAACTCGGGTCCGTTGTACAGGATTCAGGGTGGAAGGAGGTGCCTGAGACATCAACAACTGGAACAACCCACGTAAGCTCAGTTCCTAAGCAACACAAAAGCATGGATCTCCATGCCTGGCTGGTTCTCCTGAAATCTGCCTACCTTCTGCCTACCCAGTGGTAGCAGATCTAGTTGTTTTCCCAAGAAAACCAACCCCTTTCCTCCCGTTTTTCCATGAAGTGGTGGTGATGAAAGCTAGCAAGCGCAAACGTGCTGTTTCCAGCCCCCTTGCAAGGAAATAATATGCATTAAAGGTAAGGGCAATTTGGCCCAGAGAGAGCAAGCCACTTGGCACCACCTTGATTGAAGAGCTCAGTCTGTGTGTCATATCCTGCCAAAAGACTGACTTGGGTGGGAACTTCCCACCATTAATCTCTTCTACTCCAACTGTCTCCTTGCCTCCGAGTTTCCATCTCTCTCAGCCGAAAGCCCTCGGGGCTCTTTCAGCTCCCTCAAATGAATGACTGTGTACGCTGACATCCCCAGGAAATTCCACAAGCACGGGTAGCAGCTCAGCCTGTGCCAGCAGAGTGTCTGTCCAGACAGGTTCCCATCCCTCCACCCATCTTCCTTCCATGACACGGACCAGTCAAACTCTCCCCCACCATATGGGAGAGAGGGGTCTCTCACAGAGCCAGTGTTGATGCTGCTTTCCTCCCACTGATCTCCTCCAACTCACTCAACCTAGGACCATCCTTGCAGGACAACCCAACACAACTTGCCACCCTGGACAACTGATGAAAACTCCGAGTCAGACATTAGAGAGCTTTATCTAAAGGATTAACATCTGGGTCAGCTCTGTCTAAGAAACAAAAAGTTTTTACAGTTACTGTTCTTTGGAGAATGTAGCTATAAATTCTTCAGATGACAAGTTAATCTCAAAACATCCCAATAAACCTGCCTGGGCTGTGTGTGACAAAGAGGTTGTTCACACATCCCAGTTAGAACCAGAACAGTTTTCCAGGAGCTTTCAGCTAAAAGGACCCACAAGGAGAGAGGCAGAGTAGTTTCCATGGCCCACAGGGAAGCTTCCTGCTCAGATAACTCTTGTGCTTGCATTTAGCAGAACAAGGAAGCGAGACTAAAGTCATGCTGAAAGCAGCCAGAGACTGCCATCCATTCTTTCGGAACATTACCATAATGTTGACTGAATGGACAGCAAAGGAAAGTGACACAGACAGACGCTGTCCCTGGAGACAGAAGTGAGCCTTCCAGAAGAAAAACCCTTTGTTCTCTCCCAAATGCCTTAATCAAATCAGTTGGGAGCTTGTGGAATCATTAGGAAGAAAAACTCATCACTGTCACTTTCAGTTATTCTGCAAAATGGTTTAAAGGGAATTTAGATTTTCTGTATGATTCTGTAACTGAGGAGGTGCCAGTTGCTCCAGTCAGCAAGCTCCTTGACTTCCCATCAGGTTCCCCTAATTGCTAACGGGTACTCAGATACCAACCAAGTCTTTTCCACAGGCCAATGAAACCTAAGAGAGGTTTATTTATTACCATGAGCCTTCACGTCAAATTCACCTGCCAATAAGGCCTGTGGGGAGGTCAGTCCTATTTGCAGCGTTCTGACTCACAGAACTGGGAAAGCGAGGGCTGAAGCAGCCAGTCCAGCAACAAATTTATAGTTTTATGGGTTTGAAGTTGCACCTGTGGAGTTGTTTTATGGATACGTTTCAGTGGTGCTATTGCAAGGGTGTTGCTACAGCTGCTCTGGAAGGGCTGCAGGCAGAGCAGAGCACATCCCTGTCCAGGCATTTTTTCCTCCCATGACAAGGGCTGAGCCACAAGCAGAGGTGGTGGCCACTCTCTGCAAGCAGCATTGCCCTCTGCTGGGTGCAATTCAGCCCAGGGGTTCCCCCAGCCCCTTCCTCCAAGCAAAGCTTGCCAAACCCCTCCTGAGTTGGCCTTCACTGATGCTCTGGGCACCTACATGCTGCAGACAACAGAGCAAACAAGTGCAGCCAACAGTATGCTGATGCCACGTCCCACTGCATAAGGAGCAGCACCCAAGGTTGGTGCAGTTCTTTAGCAAGAGTTTTCCTGATGGATCCCAGCAGAGGAAAATCCAGCAATGCTTATCTGAGCCAGCTCCACACAGCTTCTGAGGGCTGGGAGAAGGTATCGTGGACCTGTAGGCAAGCCCTGCGCTTTCTGCCCCAGGACCCATTCACCTCCATTTTTCACCTATTCGTTCTCCTCATCACTCCAACACTTTCATGGCAACACGAGTGAGACGCTGTGATCCATTCAGGATGCAGCTGAAATCATAAAAATAGAGCTAACAACCTCTGGCATGAAATTGAAGTGCTTCTGTCCTTCTGTACGTTTATGATGATAGCTGAGCATTCAGCACCTTTAACTATATCCAGTTTCAGCCAACTTCATTCACAATTCTCTCAACATATGCAATATTCATCTATTTAGAGTAATTAGCTCTGAAAGGTTAAAAATCAGAATAAAAAAAAACAACATATAAAATCCAAGGGCCAGATGGAATCACTCTCTTCAGAAAAGCTCTACAAGCAATTATTGAATAAAATCCACTGCTGGTGAACTCAGTTTCCACAGTTGGTTGAAACATTGGCCCATCTGAGAAAAATAATTGCCAAGACAGCACTGCAGTAACTCACGTGTATCGGTGGCACAGAGACTCAATGCAGATCAACACTCGGACATTATCTCTGGCTCGGAGCTGGACTTTACTCTTCAACTCACTGTGGTCTGTGGAAAGTAGTGGAAGAAATATAAAGACTTTTGCAACACAGGAGACCACCAGTTGCTGGTGTTTGGCTTTACAGAGACACCAGTAACCCTGTGACTTTTTAGGACTCTGAAAGGTTAAAAATCAGAATAAAAAAACCTAACACATAAAACCCAAGGGCCAGATGGAATCACTCTATTCAGAAAAGCTCTACAAGCAATTATTGAATAAAATCCACTGCTGGTGAACTCAGTTTCCACAGTTGGTTGAAACATTGGCCCATCTGAGAAAAATAATTGCCAAGACAGCACTGCAGTAACTCACGTGTATCGGTGGCACAGAGATTCAATGCAGATCAACACTCGGACATTATCTCTGGCTCGGAGCTGGACTTTACTCTTCAACTCACTGTGGTCTGTGGAAAGTAGTGGAAGAAATATAAAGACTTTTGCAACACAGGAGACCACCAGTTGCTGGTGTTTGGCTTTACAGAGACACCAGTAACCCTGTGACTTTTTAGGAAAGCACCTTTCTGGTGTTGGATTATAAAACACTTCATCGTTGAACGTTTAAAACCATTGAATGAATGCACTGATGATAAAATACAATCAAAATTGCCTTGATGGAGTTCTACATCATCATGTTCATTTCTTCTAAAGTCTTTTATGGAAGCTATGACTTCCACACATGAATATATTTGGTCCCTAAGCTCATCCTCCATAAGAAGTGTTGATTTGTTTGGTTTGCCTGGAGCAGCCTGCTGTGGGTATCAGTCCGTGGAAGTGCCCAACTCAAGGGCAAGGGTCTGGGTCATGGCACCAGAGGGAGAGCTCAGTGCAAAGGGCTACCATTGCACATGTTTTAAATCAAACAGGACCAAGAGTTCTCCAGGACTCCTTCCTGCACACCTCAAGTAGGGGAGAAAAGGTTTCTGTGGACAACAACTCACCAATGTGGACATTGGCTGAAAACTGGTAGATGCCAGACACAGGTGCTGTGAAACGTCCTGTTGCCAGATTTAATCCTGTCCCCCGGAGAAAAGCTCCTTTGGCCAGAGGCTGTAAGACAAGAAGAGCAGATCCTGAACATGTCCCCAGCACCCTCAACAATTACTTCTGTCTCTGACAAAGAACAAGCTTACATTCATGTGAGCAAAGTTGAAAATATTTGCAAGGTTATTGCCTTATCTCCCAGAACACACCTTCCAGCTGGGCCCTCTCAGTGTTGATGCCCACAAAAGGCAGAATTATCAGGATGAGACATGAAGATGCCCTTTTTTCTCACTGCCCCACTCTTCTAACTCATCTTGACTGGGACTGTGCTTATTACATCCCTTATGCTCTGCTGGTGCTAGTGAAGGCTCTAGCTTCTTACATCCCTTATGCTCTGCTGGTGCTAGTGGCCTCTAGCCTTCACTCATGTTCTGAAATACAAGATCTGCCATTGAGTCAGGAGGTCCCTACTAACTACTCCCAAAGATTTCCTGGATGAGGCCAAGCCCTCAGACTTAAAAACCCGGAACCTTATATACCATTTTTGTGATACAAAACACTCATACGGGTCTCCAATTCAGGTCTAAGTCAGATGGCTTCAATATTGTTAAAGAACAACTGCTTGGATTTTTACAGGTTCCATATTTAGTTTCATTTTTTCCTAGCTTCAGATTTTACAGAACAGGCAAAAACCTAGTAAAATAGTGTGCAGCTTCTCCTCATGGCAAGGAAGCAGTCTGAAGTCAAACTCACAGCAGATTATCTGACTCAGACTAAAATAAACTCTGCGAGAAATGTTTATTGTTAGTTTTGGCCTGCCTGATATGAATTTGGCTGGAGCTGGGGAGAAGCAGGAGTGGCTTCAATGGGCCAAGAAAGCATATTAGTCAGACTCTGCTTCCACCGCAAGGGCATTCTGTGCAATGTGATGAATGCTCTCCTGAGAGATTCGCCCCACATTGCTCTTGTGGGACAGAAGAGCTGTTCAAATCTGACTCTTTGTAAAAGAGTTATATCCCTAAAACATGCACAAACGCATAAGTGAGGGATCTCAACAAGAAGCCAACATTTGAGCATGTTTTTCCATAGTAGATGGCAAAAGGGGCCTGAGACATGGTGAACAGATTCGTAGGAGTGTTCCATAGTAGATGGCAAAAGGGGCCTGAGACACGGTGAACAGATTCATAGCCACAGGAGTTATTACACTAAAAACTATTCAGGTGCTAGAAGGAAGTGAGTCCCCCCCATCCTGGTTCATCACAACCAGAAATTGCCAGCTTTCACAGCGCAGGGTAGGAATAATGTATTTAGCTTTATCTTTGAAAGAAAGTAAAGCTGCAAATATTTGGGTCTGGTGGTGTTTGGAGAGTTACTACAGGGAAGGAGTGAAATGACTAATCTGCCTTTATTCAGCAAATCCCAGGGGCAAGGCTCACAAAAGAGTAATTCCCAGTCCTTATTTACCAAGATCTAGCTGTAGCCTTTAATTTCACAGCACTTTACTAGAAATGCTTTATGTATGCACATGGTGGTGATGATACATCCCTGGGCAACAGCAGTGGTGTTTCTCATAAGATTACATATGTATAACAGGGAAACAGTAATAATGAACTGCAGAACAACTATATTTCATACAACGTTTCTATATTTATCAGCGTGCACTGATGTGTGTCTACATACACACAAATACACACAAAAGGAGCTCTATTTTCTTTCTGTACACACCTATAGCCAATGTAACAGCTCACCTAACAATGAAGACTATGGAAGGAGCTTGATTCTGTTCTTATGCTATCACTAGGCCATCATTTTTGGTACTGCTATTTTTGATTCACCTCACTGAGCAAATCCAAGTCCTGTATGTGCAAAACTGTACTGTGTAGTTAATTCATTCCTTTCTTGTTACAGCTATTAGCAGAATCAGCAACATAATTCCAAAACCACTGGCTGAGCATGGAAAGCAATTTTAGGCACCAGTAAATTATCACTGATAAAACATTCCTGTTTCTTCATGCCCTCGGTGGCTTTGTTATTCTTTTGCTCATAGGAATAGACAATGCAGGGAGAGGTTCTCTGGGCAAAATATTCCATTAAACCCCACACCAATTAGAGCTCCCTGCTGCGTTTGCTGTCTCACAGCAGCATGCTCCCCTAAGCTGCTTCAAACTCTGCAGGGATTTATATCTGAGAAACTAGCTACTTGCACACAGTTATCTCAGCAGACTAAAAGCAAACAAACAAGGTAATGTGTCCAGCCATTCTGTACAAACCAAGGTCAGCTTCTCCTCCTCACTCCATCTCTTATCCCCACATCTCCCTCACTCCATAGTTCTGGGTGGAAAATAGGAACCACATGCAGAGAGTTAAGATGAGAACTGCCAGTTCAGTGATAAACACTGAGAAAAGCAATGCACTGACTTATCTGTTATTAAAGAAAAGGATAACCCAGCCTGCACCACGACACACAAGGGATGCACCAATCTCCTGAAGCAGCAATAGAATTCAATTGCCAAAGGTAGACACTAAGCTTGACCTCAAGGCACTAGACACACTAGGACTCCTTTCACCATGAAAAGCACGAGGCCTCCTTAGCCTTAAATGTTCTGATTCCAGTGACGTTCCTGAGCCCCAGATAAATCCCACTTCCATGGCCTTTCAGAGGCTGCAGTTCTTGCTGTGTAAAGTACCTTTCTGAAAGCTTCTGTGAGAGGCAATCATTAAAACCTCAAAGTGTGAGATACAGGATGAAGAGGTGTGGGGAAAGGAGTGTCACATGTTTCATTCCAGATACTAAGGAAGCTGTGAGACCAAGAGGAAGGGAGGGAGGGAGGGAATGTTCTGGGAGGAAACGTAGCATGGAAGGATGAGAATACATCATGCTCTCTCAATACCCAAGGTCAGAGTGACTTACATACCATACTCAAAAGGGGGAGAACAGAAGCGATAGTGTGCTGAGAAACAGCCTCTCTCACAAATGCTTTGGGTAAGGTCCAAATCCAGGAATTAGAGTCAATCCCCATCATCTCACTGAGAAGTATCAAACTGTTGGCTTCTTCACACTATTAAATTGACAGAACGGAGGGAGGGGAATTCTCTCTCTCTTCCCGTCCTTGGACTGTTTAAAGACAATGTTTTCATCTTTGCAATAGCATCCACTGTCTCACTCCCTGCTAAATTCCCCTATATCAGAGCACAAGCTAAAACCAGACACTTCTTGTCCCAAAGCTGAAATGAAAGGCTGGCATCCAGAGGCCTGCCAGCCCTCCCACATCAGCTTCAGGGCCAGAAGCAATTAGAAAGCAGCTCAGCATATGATAACAAAGCATGGGAAGCAGCAGCCTACACACTGATTGCCGAGATGTCTTTATTCACATTTTCCCTCCTAATTAATGAGGCAGCAGATCTCTCTAGCCCTGCCCACACTTCAAGCACAATCTTGCCTCTGTGCCAGCACCCACAGTGCTGTCAAACCAGGCTTCCACAAGTGTATCTGGGAAGGAACCAGGAAAGCACCCTGTTGAGAACATAACCGCTGCCTCTAGTCCTGTAGCTCCGAGAAGTCCCAGCAACAGGATCTGCTGGATGTCATTATTCAGAAATGGGACTCAATGCAGTTGGGAAAAAATGCTCAGCACCTTACTACATGAACAGTGTTAGCAAACCCTGTTGATGGAAAGCCATATTCCCCATTCACACTCTTCAAACTCTTCCTGTCACATCACAAAACCAGCCATGTAACTGGAGGCCCTGTGCTATTAGAGACACTTTGTGACTCCAATGTCTGGAATAAGTCTCCTCAATTACCAAGCAACTATTTGGTTTTAGCTATTACTTTGCCTAACATTTAAACTTCAAATTCAGATCCTATTTGCAACTGTTTCAGTAAAAGTTTTAATATAAAATTCAACAGCTTGCTTGTAACCAATTGTATAATGACCTACAGCATCCCATGATGGTGTGCTTGTCATTGTAACATGACCATAATGAAATTATATAGGTAATATTCATTTGTGTTCTATAAAATAGAATTAGAATTTGAGCATCAGGACTGGCCCACCCAACCAAATGATGGCTCTGATATGGGCTCAAAAAATCTATAACCGATTGCTTCTGTCCACCTCTGACATTTTTATCATCTGAATGTTAGTCTGGAGTTAAACAGGGTGTACACTGAAAAAAAAAAAAAAAAGAACAGATTCTTCAGACTAATGCCAAACATGGACAAGTCTCTCTCCATCATTAATGGAAATAAAAAGACTGTTGTTTGGACCTGTGAGACAGCCCTCTCTTGCACAGACCTGTTGGAACCTCAGTAAGAACCATAATGAGATTCAGCTGGGCTGCAAGAGAGGGAGAAACTGCCTCTTGGGTCTGTCAGGAAGGAGAGGACTCAAAGCTAAATATCCATCTTACTGCAGTTGAGTTTCAGTGCTGAAATCACCACACGAGATCCTACTTCATAGCATCCAAGCCTGAGAGGAGCTTCTAGGATTTATCTGCCCTTCCAGGAAGCACCTTTATCTGCAGAGCCACCTGGGAGCTGTGCAGACCAGGGGAACTCTAGCTGATCTACGCATGAGAGCTGCTGTGGAGTTGCACAGGTTCAGTCTGTAATCCCTTCTCACCGACTGAAAGTTCTGAAGTTCTACCAGGGTCTTCTTGTCTACAATGACTTGTCCTTTTAGCTTGCAATGGAAGGCCTCCTCGACACGTCTGTGGGGTGACGCTTCCTCCAAGGAGAGCAGGAGTGGAGGCAGCTGGCTAGGATGGGCTGAAATAGCCAGGGACGCTCGACGCTCAATGGCATCTGAGGAGAGAAGAAAAAGTATAAGAAAATCAAGGCTTAGTTTAAGAGCCTGGCCTACGAAGCCATTAGTTGTGCGATTAGACTGCTGCACTCAACTCTTCAACTCAAACTAAGCAGCACTGGGGAAACATTTTTTCAAATTTTTGTTTGCATTAAGGCAAACGTTTGCAAAGCCAGCTCTTTATTTGCCATGGTGCTTACCAAAAGAAGCAGATCATAAAAGCACAAAGCTCATACAGTCTTTACCTTTTAATATCTCCTTAAACTCCTGCAGAAGGACTTCCCGGGTGACTTCAGCACCAGGTGCTCCTGGAGGTCCCTGGGGGCCAGGAGGTCCTGGGGGCCCAACCAGGCCACGCTGAGGAAGTAACCAAAGAAAAACATGTGAATTAGAACCAGGGAATTGCAACGACGGACCAAAAGTTCTCTCAGTCATGATGAGCCAGATCTACAGGGCTGTCAGGCACGCAAGCGGCCCCCTCCACCATCAGTTCAACTATAGGCCTGGTGCAGTAAATCATAAACTGGCTCTCTGGCCAGCTGTGAATTCCAGCACTTGGAATTTACTCATGTCTTTATGTGGGAGGATAAACTTTGCTCAGGTAAACACAAATTGGTTATTCAAGTGCATCTTATACAGTGTGAAGCACAACAGGCACCAGACTAAGTTTGCTGCTTCTGTATCTTCTCATACCACCAAGGTAAGGTACTAGCTTTTAAGCTTCTTAATCTGCCTATTCCCTAACTAGAATAGCCATCTAGCAACACTTTACATTATTAATATACATTGTTCAGACATAACAATCACAGACATGAACACCTGGTGTAACAGCAGAGCTCAGAAAAAAAATGAAACTGATTCAAAACACCTGTAAAGGTTAGCCACACACACTAGAGCTTTAAACTAGTAGTACAAATATACAACAGTGTTATCAGTGCTATTTTGAGGTATATTGTTCCCAGGGAATTCCTGTTTCCTCAGTAAACCTGCCTATCAGCTCACTGAGAAATAAAAGGAAATCATTAAAAGCATTCAAGATTATCTAAACTGCAGATTAAAAGTGCACACGTGATCAAGCATCACTCAGCAGATAATCAGTAATTCATTAATTTGAAATAAATGACTTGTCCACACCTTGATTAATATAGTCTTTGAGATACCTGGACTTTATCAAGTGGAAGTAAAAAGATGTTAATTTTATTTCTACTGAGCAGTAAAAAACCAAAAGGGAAGCCACAGTGCACATTTATTAGCTGATAGCAATCTAGCAATGACTTACTAATTTCTTGTCTTTCCCTTTGCATCTTCGTTTAGAGGTATTGCCATCATCTGGGCGGTGAACAAAGGAGATCCAGGTCCGCCGTGGATCTGTGATTCGAGGATCTGGAGATTCTAGGACCTAAAGAGAAACAAGAACAAAGACTGATGTCACTGTGTCTCTTCAGCCACTACGTGGATTCAGAGAACGCAAAGTTCCAAGACCAGACCATTGCCTGCTGCCTAAACCACATCTTTGATTCAAATACACTGCATTTGGGAGGACATTGAAGGTGGGATAAAATGGGATTTCACACTTCTGTAACCAGCAATTTGGTTTGGATTATCCAGTACCATGCCACTTTGTCTTCATTTACAGGAGCATTGCAAACACAGGATGGTAGTTCAATCTGAGTTCTGACACAGTCTATGCAAGACACCAGCCTTTCTAAGAGTCCTATTAGAGGGGGATTTTTTCTTCCTAAATTACGGACTAAGCTTGCCAGCAAAAATGTCCCAAAAGCCAGAAGATGCTGTCCTTAAACCACCAAAATACCTTCTCATAACTTAATATGCCATCACCTGCAGGGCCTCCCAGTTCCCTTTGCTTAAGAAATCAGTAAGAGCCCAGAGCTGGGAGGCAGTGTACCTCCAAGACCTTTCTCAAACCTCTGAGAATCTCAGCCCTCTGAGAGTCCTAATACGTGCCACAGAAAACCTGTCCAGATGCCAAAGACTGTTCACCACTGGCATCTGACATTTATCAGCTGGATCAATCAAGGAATACAGGGAGATTAAAACGTACAGAAACCTTCAAATGCTCCATAACTTTCAAATCACAGGCTGTAGAGTGGCAAAAGTGTGGAAAAAGCATAGAAGTAAAGTCAGTCAACAGATCTAAAAGTGTTTGCCCCTGGGTATTAAGGCCCTGCTAGAACCACATTGAGTTTTAATAACGTTTCTAGTACCACTTACAAGCATAGATTCCCTTTCAAACAGTCTGCAGAAGTATGTAGAAAACAATTAACCTTTAGAATGCAGGTAGAGCTGAGGTCCCAACAACTTCAATCCATTTCACCATCTAAGAGCAACAGGAATTGGACAGAGGGTTGCAAACTTTAGCTAGAAATATCAGGGCAAGCCCATTTCAAGGAGGAAAGACCACAGTCTGTGTGTGATCTGCTATGAAAAATCCATGCAGCAGCAATTGTTTCAAAATTGAATCTTAGAAGTCTGCTGGAGTTCCAGCTTGAGGTTGCAAGGAATGTCGGTGCTTCTAAGCTGATGCAGAGCCTGGAAAGCTCTCTCCCCAGCATGAATCCAGGCACATGGGTGTAGTACAAGGCACTTGACCATAGATTTCTGAGCTGATGGGATCACAATTATTTATTTCAAACAGCTTGGGTCAACAGATGATTTACAAACCAGCAGATTGTGAGCAGCTCCCCAGAAATCAGATGTGTTGCAAGCTGAGTTGAGCAAGGGTATTCATTAAACCTACATCTCAAACTCTGCGAAGCCAACTCCATCTTCTCTATTCAGCAAATAACCTTAGGTGATTTACTGCTCAGATACAACCCACAGAAAGATCTGCCCCTATTTAATTGCTCTCTTCAGGCAGTCCACTTATCCTCCTCTCCAGATAGATGGCTGCAGAGTAGCTGGTGTCTGTGCTTTAAGCCAAAGGAAGGATATCCCGAGACATTTTGCCATATTGTTTCATGCATCCTACTGTAATTAATCAGAGCCAGAGTTATGGTTACACACACTCCCCCCGATGCTCTGATTTAGTGTGTACCACAAACAAGAGCGAGACAAACTATTCATAAAAAACAACATCACTATTTCTGTACCAAAAAAAAAAAAAAAATCAGTCTTGAACAGGCTTTTAACATTTATAACCACATTTACAGTCAGCTGTCAATTGTGTGCTTAGTCAAGGGGTTCCAGTAGTTGTTTTAGCTAAATTATTATTTGTCTTTTTTACTTACCGCACCCAGGACTTCAATAGCTTTCTGAAATTTCACTGGAAAGTAATGTAAATGGAGTACCATAGGAAATCCCAGGTATTGTGAGATTAGTCACCTCAATAAAGCATTATCATCTTCCCACAGATTGCTTGAGTGCAGATTTTTTGTGAAGCATAAGAAAGAAGTCAAGGACAGGCCGAGAAGGTCCTTTAGTGCAAACCTCTCCATCTATTACAACATATAAACATCAAGTCCAGAGGCAAGCATTCATAAAGTTTGCAAACATCCTTAGAACAGTACACCAGGTGCATTTTGTTTCTAAAACAGCCATGAAATATATTTAACAGAGTTTCATGGGGATTGAACGGTTTCTGATGGGAAAAGATAGTTCTTTCCTACCCCACTTCATCTGCAAACAGACAAGTGCAGCATCACCACACACAAGGTCACACCTGCAGAGGACTGTTTATGAGTATTATATGATATTTTATAATATTATCATAATATAGTTCATAAATGTAAAGTAGGCAAGAGCCTACCCATGCTCTGTCCAAAGGAAGGAGACATCTTTTTGCCCCCGTGACTGGGACTGACAGGTCTGTGGTAAAGCTGCAGCACAGTTTACAAAACAGAAGGAAGCAACTTATTAATAGAAGGACCCAACTCAGGCAGGAGGGAGTACTCCCTCAGTGCTGTAACAGAAGCCAGAAAAAGAACAGCTGGGTTGCAGAGAAAAGGAAAATAGAATCAGTTCATCCTTCAACACGGACTGGCAGGAACTCAGAAGTGCAGTCTCCAAAACACAAGAACAGAGTCCTAGGAACTGGGATGCAGCATTTGCTGCAGATGTGGAAGAGACAATTCAAACACTCCTGGTTTCCACCAGGCTGCAAGACAGGCATCAACTCCCCTCCACTGCAAAAATGAGGAAACAGGCCAGCTAAAAGCAGAAGCCAGCATTCATGGGCAGACCCTGACCATAAACTGTGAAGACAAACAGATGTCCTCAGCCTTTCTGGAGCTCCAGCTGTGAAGAAACAGGCCAAAGCAGACATCTTGTCAGGGAGAAAAAAGAAATCCAGATGGCACATCCCAGAAAAATAAATGAAAATCTCCTGAAGTTTTAAAAAAAAAATTAAAAAAAAATAATCCCATACCTCTCCAGTGGCTTGCTTAAATTACAAATCCCTCTACAAGACAGTCATGGCACTCCCCAATTTCTCCAGCACAAGGATGATTGACAGTTAAAATGAATGTTCCATCCTTGTGGTATTATTATTTAATTACTATGGCATGCATGAGCAATCCTAGCAATAAGCATGCAAGCCTCTGTTTTTCTTGGCAGCAGCAGCCTCCAGCAGCCAGAGAGACCTTGCAGCCAACTCAGGTATCCGTCAGGACTGGGAACAGCCCTGGAATCCCAGCAAAGGGGACTTGTCCCTCCTGGGGTGCTGTTTACAGAGCGAAGCTGACCTACAGGAGTCAGGAGGAGTCCTCATGTTAACTGCAGAGAAGCCAGGCTTACTCCTTAACGCTTGAAACAGTGCCTCCAAAATCAACAGAAGCCTTGCCAGCAATTTTTAATGAACTTTCAATCAGGTCTTTTAGGATTATTTTGGAATCCGAATACAATGGTACCTATCACTTCAGTCCCAGTTTATGACACTGATGAGAAATTAGCCCGCTCTGTCCCTGACTCCCCTCACAATAAAAACCAAATTGAGCTGTAATTCAGGCTGCTGAACACAGGCAGAACCTGCGGTTCGTTCTGGCTCTCGCTCCCAGAACAGCACGCACTGCCCAGAGACACACACAGTCCCTGGCCAAGATGCAGCCAGCATGGAGGAAACTGCTAGCAGAGATCTACAGTCCAGTAGCAGAGTTTGGATCCTGAGAAATTTCTGAACTGTATCTGAACTTGCCTGAAATTCAAGGGTAGCGGTATCCAGTCTGCACCTCTGCTAAAAAACAAAGCAAAACGGACAAAAGTAATTTCTGGGTGAATAAAAGAAAAAAAAAGTCAACACTACCTGTAAAAATCTGTACACCTAAAAGCATCTCTGAGTGTTCTCAAGCACAGTTAAGTATTTCTCGGGGTAGGATAGGATGGCAAAGCATGAAAAGGTTACAATTTTGTGAGAGGACAGCATCCTTTCCACCCGCAATTATTTAGAAACAAGTGTCCAAAAACATGTATCTAACCACTCCAGTCCACAGTCTTCATGCCTAAAGTTACTGCCCTGCAAGTCTTGCTCAAACTATTATCTATGGATTTGTCCATCTGTGATGGAATTATGTTTAAGAATTCTTTGCTTAATAGTTAAGCAGTTGCCAGACACAAAATGGACCTGACTAAGCATTTTGATTATCTCAATCCACAAATTTCTATGTTGTTACACCCGATTTACACCAGCAAGAGTATTGTCAGCTTCACTATGAAATAGGGAGCAAATTATTCATTTCAGTAGCGTATTTTACTTGGAACAGGTTAAAAAGTGACAGACCACTTTTTATTTTTTTAGCATGAAAAATCCCATGGCAGCTGCTAATAACGTATGGTTATACACACTCTTGGTTATTAATGAGATGTAAAACCAAGGTCCTGACCACTTGTGGTTTTTACAGATCTCTCAAGAATTTTCCCTAGAGCAGAAGTGTTAGATTTGGTATCTTAGCCAAATCCAAAATGGAATTCCTACCTAAATTCCCACTACGTTTTGTGATTGAAAAATTATTCTTCACCGCTCTAAAGGGCTCCGTCAACAAGCTTCTCCACTTAAACACAAACCGCCTTCAGCAGTCACACCCGTAATGAATTTAATTAATCTAATGGAACAGTTCACATGAACAAAAGCTACTCTGGGTAAGAGGACAACACGGTGTTTGGTGCTGTGTTCGCTGTACTGCAACGTTCACCCGTGTCACCCCTGGATGTACCTGGTCTTTAGGGCTCCCAAAAAAAGGTAAAGAACTGAGGAGCACCAATAGAAGGGGTGTAGCATGGTTGTGTAGCACACAAACCCACATCTGACATAGGACTACACACTTCAATCATAAGCTTTAAAAAAAAATAATCTTACAAACAGCTCTGAGAAATGAGAGCGAGCACTGAATTATTTGATATGCTGAGTTAGATGTATGAATCCAATATTATTTTACGTGGCCCACAAGGAATTGCTAGGAAGCACTTTATTATAGCCCTTCTCATTCATAATATGCCAGAGCAAGGCTGGCAATGATGACAGATACAAAATGTGAATGATAACACCTTCTGCTACAGACAGGTCATAGTCCAGTCTCTCCCATGGCTTTAATACTTGTCAGGCCCCAAAATACTTTTCTCACTTACACATGCAATCACACACTTCAGTCTAAGACTGAAATCTCTTCACAGAGGAGGAATGCAATTTGCAGTGTCATTGAACCAGCTGCTGTTTTCAATGGGAAGCAAAAGGCTCCAAAGAAATAATTCAGAGAGACTTAAGTAATAAACCAGGTAGACCTCGCCCTAGATATTCGACAGAGACAGAAAGATCACAAAAAGGAAATAAAATTTCAAGGACCCCTTGGCTACATAGTGGGCAATTAAATTAAAAACATTACACTATTTCTTGCAGAAATTCCACTGAAGGTAGAATCTGTTGACCTCAATCATTATTCTGGTTATTCTGGACCATGTACAGTCAGGTTTGGCTGACTCCAAGGATGGAGACTCCAAAGCCTCTCTGTCCAGCCTTGTTCAGTTTTTGACCACCCTCACAGTAAAGAAGATTCTTTTCTCACATATACGTGGAATTTCCTGTATTTCAACTTGTACCCACTGCTTCTTGTCCTTTAACTGGGCACTAAGAGCCTGACTCCATCCTTATTCCCTCTACTTGGGCATCAAGTGATAACTCCTCATCAGTGTCAACCCTAAATAAACATTCCTGCTGAACTCCTGTTAGTATAATATCTCTCTCACAGGAGAAGATGTACACCTGGAAAGGGGAAGGCAAGCCTGGCAAGTGGCATCTGCTGGTATTCAGTCAAAATAGGAAGGTCCAGTAGATTAAAACCTCTGTATCCATCAGGGATGATCTGCCCTCTCTCCAAGTCCATCTGCGTCAGAGAAGAAAACTCTCATGTGCTTGGCAAGCACATCATATTGACAGCAACCCAGCACAGATAAGACTGGAGGAAAACTTAAAAAAACTAAAAATCCAACACACTGTTTCCTTGGAAATATCACATCTACCAGATTTGAGACTTCTGCTTCTTGTTTTAGGTAGACGTTTCACCACATGCATTATGAACGTTCAAGGGGAGCTTTCTCCACTCCTATTTGAAAAGGATTCCCAAGTGAAATTTGTCCTAAATTGTTTTGCTTAATTAAAAGGAAAACACATCTACCTTCTCAACAGTATGAATAAAAATCACTACTCTCAGCTAATACTGTATTCCCTGCTCCTCCTGCTTTGATAAACCTACCAGCTGGCCACAGAGTCTTCCAAGGTAAACACAGCCTTAATTTTTACTGTACAAGGCCAAAAAAAAATTCCATCTTTCCTGTTATGTGCTGTAGAGAAATGAAAGGGGACACTGCTGTTGTTTCACTTTCGCGTGCAGGGCACCCTTTCATCAAACAAAACTGCTCACAGAAGTACCTTCAAGGCTCAAAGAGATCAGTTTTCTGCAAAGAACTGCTTTCCACCTTCCTTTAGCTTGACAGGTTAGGTAAGGATAGATTCACTATTACTCTGCTTCTTCCCTTAGCAAATACAAATTGTGATGCTTTCTGTGCTATCATTTACCCCAGAAATGGTGGCAATTCTTAAGCACTGCATTTATAGTATGTGTAAAATAATCCCTTAGCTTGGGCAGGTGCTGTATAAACATATAATACAATATAGTCAACCCATGACATTTAGAAGCAATAGTTAACCGGAGCCTTAAATAGATTCCAAGGAGAAAAGTTCACATTGCAAAATTTGGGAGTGGACACCAAGCAGAGCTCATCAGCGTTTACATCAAAGATTTGGTTTCATACAGTCCTTATTAAACAGAACCTGCTTTCACTGAACTCGCCAGCTCTCACTGCAGCCAAACTTTTGCCATGGATATTTTAAAGCAAAGTATTTCAACACAGAAACTGCAGTTCCCAAACAATGTCTGTTTTAATGAATGCCCGCTAGCCTCCAAACGAGTACTGTGTTTCTTTTAGCAATAATGTATGTATGACTATATTAGAATTAACCAGGACCAGTTTCTGCTTGCTTTTGCAATCAGAATATATTGTGCTTGCGGTCCAATACATTTCACGTGGAGCCAAATTAATTCCAGAATAGACTGAAATTTAGTTGCACCAGACATGTGCCTGGCCCCTTTCGCAGCAGCAGAATGAAGCAGTTCTAGAGAGAGCAGAAGAAAGTGATTGATTATAAGCACCTCAAGAATTTAGCGTGTATACAACCTGTCCTGACAGAGCCCTGCAATACACAACAAAGAATTAATTGAAGAAACGCTGCTTACAGTCCCCTAATGATAATTTTAAGTGTTGCAGCCAGCTTTTTTTATATAGAGGACTTTTTCCCAGACTTGCCCAACCTTAACCAATTACTCTCACAATAGCATTGAATAGGATATTTAGAATGTCAGCCCAATTGTTCTAACTTGCCCCCTCTGCCATGCCCCAATTTTTGACAGGTTTGTTCCTCCATTGCTATAGTGACTGCCATCCCTAATGCTTGTGATCAAAGTCGTGTTTTAGAGGTCACCTCCATTTGAAACAAGGGACATTTTTGTGTGAGCAGAGAGAGGGAAGGGACTGTGTGATAGAGGAGACTCCCCCCCTTCTCAGTGTCATAGTCCTTTCCTGCAAGAGCCACAATCACCTTAAAAGGATCATCTGACTATAGCAAAATTTTTCTCATGTGTAATTTTCAGTCCCCACAGCCTCTCTGGTAGAAGGTGCAGTGCAGAGAAAGCTCAGCATGCTCAGGTGTTTACACTGTTTATACACAGGACTGGAACTTCAGTCATACATACTCTAAAATAAGTTATTACCATGAATTGCAGTATCCCAATGTTTGTTTCAGTAAGCTAGAAAACCACGCATGCACAGGCAAAAAGAGAGAACATTTCTCTTTAAAATCAAATAGAATTTGGCAAGGCTGCCTCAAATCATTGGGAAAAGAAACCAGCATCACATTACTGCCAGAAATAAGTTCTACCAAGCACTGACAGCACATAAACACCTACCTTGGGATGCCCGTGCAGTTCTTCACTGTTTGAGAGGGTAGCATTGAAAGGCTCAGTGTACTGATTAGGTTCCTTCTTCATCTTCCTCTCTCTCTTTGCTGCCATAACTCTGAAGAGGCAGAACTGCTGACAAAGTAAAGTTGCCACGAACACCCAGGTGCACCCCTTCATTTTGCAAAGGGAGGGGCCAAGTCAGGAAGGGCACTCTCCAAGCACAAAAACCTTCACCACCGATAATAGGAATAGACACAGACTTCTCTCTAAAAAAAAATAAAAATAAAAATAAATAAAACGGTTAGAACTATTAAAGGTGATCTTCTGGGCTATGCAATATCAAATGAGCAGCATGCACAGATGTGCTGGTTGCTGGAGAGATCTCTGTTCAAGCAGGACACATGGAAATGGTATAGATAAACTTGTTTGCAAATCTGGATTCACTCGAAGAAGGAGGTAAGTCCATTCAGCCTCTTGAAGCTTACATAAATACAAGGGGCCCTGGAAAGTCCTGCCACCCACCTTGAAGTGTCGCTCTCTCTCCCCCCACCTCAAAATAAGTCTTCAGATTCGTTTAAAATGCACTCAACTATGAAACTTAGAAAAGTCAAATTGCTCAGGGCAATAGTTGCTCGGGCCGGAGCTGACAATTCAAACTCATTAGGGGAGTTGTTGGGTTGTTCCTCTTCAAGGGGAGATTTCACTTTCTGTCATTTGCAGCATGGTGTGCAGTTCAAAGCAGGCTTGAATACGTTCCATCCATTCTCTCTTGAATGATACTTCCCTTTCCTCAGGGACAAGTCCTCATCCTTTCCTTTCAAGATGCTGGGAAACTGCAACCCAAGGTTGCTACAGCCACTGCTCTTCTGAAGGGGCTGAAAGCATCACAGCTCAGGCAAGTGCTCAGCCTCTAAGGAGAAAATAAATTTCTCATATCATAAAAGTTAGAACAGGGAGAAGCAAAGAATCTGAAGATGTACCTAGGTCCATTAGGAGCAGATAAAAGTTTTCCCAGGTTTTCTCTCCCTCTTTAGCTGGGTTTATCTTCCCTTTTCTTTAATGAGGCGACGAGCAGTGAGTCCCGATGCCACAAGCAGCTGTCAGGATGTAGAATCTCCTGTCTTTTTGATCCTCATCTGCCCTCACACTGGGCAAGATTTCAGGTACCTCTGAGGGGAGATCACATCTGATTTTTTTCGCTGCTCCTTTCCCCAGCTGCACACTGGCAAAACCCTCCTCAGCTTTTGCTTTACCTCAGCAAATAAGTACTTCTTTCCTGAATGAGTTTCCATCAACTTCAAGAAAGGGGAAAAAAAAAAAAAAAAGGAGGAGGGATCACATTCTAATGAGCTGTCAAGCCTATTCTCTTCACATTCCTATTAGACTCACTGATAAGTGGAGCTGGCCCGTGTGCCAGGCAGATTTAAATCAATGCCCGTTCCCAGCTCCCTCCCCTCAGCACTATTCTGTACCTCCCCTTCATTATCTCAGAGAAATCACCATTTTTCTGGGAAGTTTGTAAAAGTCTACATGAGTGTGTGGTAGAGCTAAAAATATGTGGCTTGGAATATGCACTCAGCATTGCACCACACGTTGATACATCAGAACCCCTGCTTTATACTCGTTAGCTGTGTGCCATCCAACTTTTTCCCCTAATTCTCATCACAGTCTGGCTCAGGGGGGACCTTCTGATATCTTTACAGGAGGGTGGGCTGTTTATTAAAAAGAACAGAAAACCAAAGGTTACACATCTCCTCCAAGCATTTCATAAGGGAGACCTTGAAGTACTTGGACAGTCTGCAGATCTGTCAGTTCCCCACCACCTAGAACAAATATTCCTATTCTTTCTACAAATACGGAGACTGATGCAAAAATATCTGAGATTGTACCATGAGAAAGTCCAAGAATGATAAAAGGTTGAAGATCGCATAATTTGAAGTTCCTTATTCATCCAGCAAGCAACAGATTGTTTTTCTTTTAACAATACTATGCCTTCTGTAATCCAAGTAATAATGCCAGCACAGCCCTTCACTGGACTCCAAAGGCAACCAGGGTGGATCAGGAGCAACAGCTCAATTATCTACAGCTCAGGGAAACTGAGGCATGAACAATCTGAGCACAAAATCAAGAAGCAGAATACAGATACTATTTTTTTTTTAAAGCATCCTTTGAGAGAAACAGGGTTGGGGAAAGAGAAGAGAGTAAGAAGGGAAGTTACACAGAAACTAAATAGTTAACAGCATATCACCCCTCCCCCAACGAGCTCACATTCCATCAAAACTACGTGGCAGACTTTATTTGTTAATAATATTTAACTTTCTTTGGCGCCTTCTCATACTTAAGCCTCTTTTTTCAGGTTAGTTGTAGACAAGCCATGAATTTGTAAAAGTGCACTTGATGACACATTAATAGGACAATCTGTCATATTGCAGCTAAACAGCTTGACAGATCCACACACCATGGCAAGAAATGACATTCAGGGCTGGAATGGGGCAATCGCTTTTTTGGGCTGCTGTCTGCCTGCAACATCTCCTTCCCCATCCCAGGAGCCAAATCCCAAGACTCTAACCTCAGATTTTGGGGAAATGAATCCTAACTACATTTGCAAGCACAAGGCGAAGTTGCTTGATGGTCCAGTAAGACAAACAGACTGTGCTAACTCCTGACTGTATATTTTTATCTATTTTTGGGCTGAAACAAGTGTCAGCACAGTTTTTACCTCTCCTCCAATCTTTAATTCAGCATTTCTATTATCTCTGGAAAATCACACACTTTGCTGCTGCTGCTCTCACATCCTCATTGCAGCAGTTCCAAAGCACCCGAGTCCTGCCAATGCATGAATAATCTTCAACCCCATTTGCAAAAAAAAAATAATAGGGATAGGCCAATTTTGCACTTGAAGCACAACAAACTAAGAATCTCAAAGCGACTGAAAAAAATAGTTTCCTCTCTTAGCTCAGCACCATAATGGGAACAGTTAAGAATAAAACAATACCAATTCTGCATAAGCAAAGTTATAAAGTAGGGAAGATAGTATAAGCGGCCCCATTTACATTTCAAAATCGTGGGCAAGAACCCAAACAGAGTGTTTGCAAACACTGAATAAGCGTGTGTAAAGCTGGAGAGGAAACTGAATACTCAGGCAAGAAATCTGCGATTTGATCTTTCAATCTCCACTTATGCAAGTTGCCTTTTACTCAAGATAGACCTTACCTAACTATGCTAAAAGTAACATCCAAAGGGCAAAAGGTCAAAATCCAGGATTTTCCCCAGAGTTACCCATTGTAAATATATTGGACAACTAAGCCTTGGTGCAGAGATAGTGATTTTTTTAAGCCAATACAGACAGTGACACGTTACCATTCCCTGACACACACCCTCCTGCTTCATAGTAGATAAAGGTCTAGTATTCCTTTGATAGATTCTTTAGGTTTAAATCTATAATTTCCCAATGCTAATCCATATAAACTCAAGCTTGTTGACTGGGTTAATACAGAGAAGCTGTTAGAACAAACCTAAACACCCCAGCAGAGAGAAGAGCAGCTTTGGGGAGACAGCCCAAGAGGGGTTTTTTGGCAGCTTGTCTTCTGCAAACCCCCTGCGTCCCAGGTTTTGGAGCTTCTTTCCCGGATTCCCCAGGGCCCGGGCGGGATCGCTACGCCATCTCCTGGCAAATCCATGGAAATGTTGGGAAAAACAGGGATACCCCTGTAGCCGCTCCCAAGGTTTCCTTTGCAGTGGGCTCTTTGGGGTGACAGCGGCGGGAAATAACCTTGGTGGGGGTAAACCTTTCACCACTAATGAAGGATTCCCAGTAAAGCCTAACAAATCATCCTCATCCATTTCCCAGAAAACTCTTTACAATAACACGAGATGTTCACGATCACTGAGTTCACGTTCAATAGCCTCCCTTTTCTGTGTGCTTAGGCGACTTTTACATTGAAAATATGATTTTTTTTCTGCTTTAAGAAGTAAGATCTCGCTTTTGCTGGGCAGGGAAAACAATATCATCTTGCATACTCTTTATATTGCAACCCAGTCACAGGAAGACAAGCCACCAATAACAATAAATTAGCACCATGTTATTCAGAGACATCAAAAAAAAAACTTTTTGAAGCACAAGACTTCAATTAATAATTCTAATTACAAATTGTGACCTTGCTCTTCTGAAGAAAAGACAGCTTATCTCTTGCTGACTGCTTACACATCTAAGACAAGTTGGTAAATCCAGGAGATGGGCAAAAGGCATCTCTTTTCTCTGTCCTTCCGTGTATGGGAGAGTTTCCCATTTAACACTGGGCTAGATAGACACTATCAACACCCATGGCCAGTTTGAAGTCCAAGTACTTGTGCAAACACAACAGGAGGGATTTCTTTTTCCTCCAGGATTTGTCTAGGTAGGGGCAGAACGATGCCTGTCCTCACAGCAAGAATCCTGTGACTACACGGAAACGAAATACAGCAATAAAGCTCCCCTCATCTGAGCAGTTCCTCACCAACACAAGCATGAAACAAACCTGAAGCAGGGCAACAGACAAAATGGAAAGCACTAAGTCGTAACAATAGAGTGCAAAAGATCTCCAGCCCTGGCAGATGTCAGTCAAGCAAAAAAACCCCTCACCTCTGTAAAGTTATAAAGAAATTGCTATTAGAAACAGCTATTTTTTGGATACACATGCACACAACTGGAATGCCAGCCCAAAATCAAATTCTGAGAGTCAGAAGACAGCCTCTGAGTAACACTTACTGCCTTAAACAGAACTGCAGCTGTCTAGGTATCACAGAAGTAGCTATCTAGGTGGTAAGAGAATGGCAGCAGAATGAAGTCAAACCATACTCAAACAGCATCTGCCAGTCAGTAGCAAGGTCCTGATCTACCTCCTTCTTCAAACACATCATCACTGTTGGCTACAGACAAAATGGAAAGCACTAAGTCGTAACAATAGAGTGCAAAAGATCTCCAGCCCTGGCAGATGTCAGTCAAGCAAAAAAACCCCTCACCTCTGTAAAGTTATAAAGAAATTGCTATTAGAAACAGCTATTTTTTGGATACACATGCACACAACTGGAATGCCAGCCCAAAATCAAATTCTGAGAGTCAGAAGACAGCCTCTGAGTAACACTTACTGCCTTAAACAGAACTGCAGCTGTCTAGGTATCACAGAAGTAGCTATCTAGGTGGTAAGAGAATGGCAGCAGAATGAAGTCAAACCATACTCAAACAGCATCTGCCAGTCAGTAGCAAGGTCCTGATCTACCTCCTTCTTCAAACACATCATCACTGTTGGCTAAAACAGCAGAACAGCATCTTAGAGCAATTCCATGTGTCAGAGAAGGTACTGAAAACAGACACTGCACTGCAATGACAGTTGTGACATTGATGTCATTACAGAACAAATAACTCTCTGTAAAGGAACTGCATTATCAAACAAAAAATCTAAAATAATTACTACTTGTAGGTCTTCCTGGAGGTGTTTCACCACAGATGTAAGGGATACCAAACTAACTTGAGGGAAAAAAACATCCAGAGGTGAGAGAAATGCAGTTTTGCCATAGTTCTTGTTTTATAGTCCACATATATCCAGTTTTCTTCCCAGGGATTCCTCTCCCAAAAACAGTCCCACAGAAAAGTATCAATTTTATCATGAATGTTTATTATGAACAAACAACTTTACAATGCAGTCATTTCTACTCCTCAGTACATGCTTCAAGTAAGGTAACTTCATCACCTTGAAATCTTAGGGGGAGAAAAAGTTACGGCTACACACAAACCCAGGATTTTAAAAACCAAGAGATCTTTAAAGGCGACCACTGAGGTGTCTTCTGAGTCAGGCTGCAAGAACTCCCCACCAACTGCAAGTAACAACCCTACAGAAACCTCTGAAATTGCAGCATGGAAGTGAAGGGCCAGACGTTTGTTCCAGTATCACATACTGAGGGAGAGCTCTTTGTTTGATTACATTAAGTAACGCGCTGCTTCAGGGCATGATAATATTTTTGCATGGCAAAGAATGATTTACTCCATCTAATGACTTTGGTAACAAAAAGATCAGATGCTGAATACTATTATAAATGCTTAAAAAAAAAAAACAACACAAAACAGTAAAACCTACACAAAAGGGAATAAATCTTCTGTTACCAAAGGCAAGGAGCAAGGAGATGTATTAAAAACTTGTAAGCCATAGGTGCAAGGGTTCAGTCAGCTACCAGCTACTGCTCCTAGAAATGACTCCAATCTTTCTCTGAATCCAGGATACTGAAGGGAAACTGCAATTGGAAGTTCTGTTTTGTTTTTTAAATACAACCAATCCTCAGAAAAAAAAAAAAAATGCAGCATGTCCAGGGTTAACCAAAGTTTTTTTTGTTTCCAATCGTGGCACTTCCTAAGAAGAAGACACCCGCCTTCAAATACTTGGGTGTAACTTAAGGCCAACTTGTCACAAAAATAAAATGCCTTTTATTCAACATCTCCAGATTTTACTAGTTCTTTTACCCTTCACAGAAGATGCAAACACACCATGCCCAAGGTCTCCTTGCCTTTGTCTTCATTTATGTGGACAAAAGAACTTCCAGAAGAGAAGAAAATAAATATAGATAACCAATTCTAAGCTTCTGTCTGTAGGCAATGTCAATGGTAATAAAAGGCATTGCAAGAACACAAACATGTTTGAATGATGCTAAGAAATATGAGGCACAACAGCCTCAGCTACAGGTCCATATGCTTCAAGAAAAAAATACCAGTCTGACAAACCCATCCTGAAAATCCTATCACTGCAGGAAGGACACCACACTCCCCTTCCTCTCCAGCACACCCCCAGACAGACACAACATAGTTGTTTCTAGAGGTGCTTCTCTTTTTACAAGAGCTGATTAAGCACATACAAGAGGTAAATTAAAAAATAGTTATAAATAAGATTTGGTAAAACCACAAAATAATAATAATAATAAAAAAAAATCAAAGATTTATAAATACATCTGAAAATCCAGCCTTTTCCAAATTCCATCCCCACATCCCATCTCCTCCTTCCCTTCCTTACCTCAGTAAGAACTGCTTTAAGATTTCTTTAGTATAGAGCTGTTCTGCTATTTTGGTAATTCCTACCTATTGCAGAGAATTGGTCACATTTATTGATGCTCTAAGCTGCATGGCTCATGGGTTAACAATACATTTTTGCTTACAATTCAAGATACGAAAGAGAAGCAGAGAGAGAGAACAAATCTGAAAGGGAAAATAAAAACAGTTTCAAAAAAATTCTTAGATACATGAGGTAATATTTATTTGGGCTCTTCACAATACTTGAAATAAGACTATACAGTTAGATGCAGAGCTTTTTTACCCTGCTATCACCTCTGACAATTTGTTGTAGCATTAACAGTGAGCGGGTTCTTCCCCAGTTGACTAGGGATCACTGTCAATTATGAAAGGCACAGGATGTTTGCCTCTGATAAACAAAGCATTGAGAGAAAATTAAGCAGGGGGCGGGGGGGAACCAAGCAAACTCAGTTAAAAAAGTAATTTCAGACTTTTGAACTACCCTAGGAGTTTTTGTGTTTATCCACAGTCCTGTAATCCCATGAACAAACATCAGTATTTCAGTCATCAATCATCTGAAAGGGGAACAGTGATGAACTCACACCTAAAAGAAAAAAGCTTCTAGAATCTCAGAAGAATGAGAAGGGTTTGGGTTTTGGTGGTGGTTTTTATAAGAGTTTATGAAAATCTTCAAGTAAGCAAGCAGAATTAATTTTAAGGGTTTACTTCAGCTACTGACACTTCAGATTAATTCAGTTGACTCTGAAGAAGCTGGTTTGTTATTCAGACTCATTTGTCTTTTTATCTCCACAAGGGCTAGGGTTACTTCATTTCCCAAAGCCCAAGAAATCCAGAGAAGATTTTCTGAATACACAATCAACTCTCCATTGGTGTGTGCAGTTTTATTATTTTTTTTCAACAGTGGCACCTTGTGATCAAAATTAAGTATTACAGCTTTCAAATAGAACATCTCCCAAAATGGAAATCTCTAAGTGAACAAATCCGAAACAATACTGGATATGGGTATACCCCCCTAAAGGCTGATTCAAATGCTTTTTTTCTTACTAATCATTCCTAAAGGCCAACAAACTGCACTTCTTTTAGCCCAAATAAAACCTTCAATTACATTGTGACAATTTAGACAACACATTTAACACACACAGTGTTATCTTCCCACTCATCTAATCGCTACTGACTAGATATGTGATGATGTTCATTCTATTTTAAAAAAGAAACCAGCAATCTTCTGTAGCATCAATGTTCACATGAATCAAACCCTTACCAAGTCCACATGAAAGCTCTACACGAATCATTTCAACACCTGTACAGACTCTTCCCTAAAGAAAATAAAACATGATATGCATAAACTGTGAAATTTTAAAAACTGTTCAATGAAGTAAAAAGCCTTATTTGCTTCAGGTTTTCAAATTTCAAATAACGGATGGAGAACTGCTATAAAAATCAAAGCACTAGAAATGTCAGCATCTCATCAATAATGCTTTGACTTGTTGGTGAGCCACTACCAGAGAGTAGCGAGGACAAGAGGATCTGTGAGTAGAACTTCTTTTAGTTTTCTGACTAATGGAAACTACTCCATTTCCCAAACAAAACCCATGAGCCAACCAAAGTTTTACCTGCAACTTGGTAAAACAAATATTTTATCCCAGTGTCAGAGTCAGATGCCCCAAAAGAGTCCCAATCATTCTGCAACTACCACTAATTTGGTCTTGGATTGCTTTTTATTATCCTCATTCTTGCGCTATGCTTCTCAGTACATACTTGACTGTGTAGGCAAAGGCTGCAAAACCAACTATAACAAACAAGTTCGCCAAAGCTCCGCCTAAAAGTCCATGGTTACGGTTGGCCTGTTGGAGCCCAGGATGGTTGGCAGGTGCCAGTGGTACGTGCCCATTCAGAAGGGGGATCCCGTTCTGACCGTAGTGTGCTTCCCCGTCAGGGACAACATCTGGTAAAGGGAGGGATGGAGGTCTGTTATTGAGCTCTTCTTGTGCTTTCTGTTTTTGTTTGATCTCCTGGAGAAAGAAAAAAAGAAAAGTTGAACAGCTGGAAGTGAAAGCGTCGAAGCTATCGGGTATTTTGAAGAGATTTAAGAACCTACATAACTTTAGGAAAAGGATTTGGTACACTTCTTTACATTGTAGGTCCTTTAAACTAAATTAACTGCATTACATTTGTACAAACTCCCCAACTTCTTCCAAAGTGACCTAACTTCAGTAGTTGACACTAACAATCATTTGGCTAAGTTTATTTTTAGTTCAAACATACATTTTCTGAGAAGCATTTTTTTCAGAAATCAGAAATTCTTGCATCAAAAGTCTTGCGTGTGCAGCCTGTCTGGAACACAAGACGTTCAGCTGTTCCAATACAGGGTGATATAAACTGTATTAAACACACCTACATGCTTAGCATTGTGCAAGGAAGATACATACCCCCCAAAAAATAAGTATCTCCCATTCTCAGAAGTTAATCAGGAAGAATATTAACACTGTCTTAAGGATAAATAAGAAATCTAGGATATTGATAGAACAAGTCCAGATATACAAACTCAGGAAAACACAGCATACAACTGTAAAATATTGAGAACACAACCATGTCTGCGGCACGTACAGCTCAGTTAAGGCTGTGACACAATCCTAAATACACATATTTGATTCCCTATACAATGGATCTTTGTGCAGCAGAAAAATAATTCCAGTTCAAGATTCAAGGTTTTAATTTTTACGCATAACAAAAGCGCCTATTAAAAGGTTTCCAAGACTGACAAAAGTAGCTACTGTCTGCGAAAAGACCTAAAAAATTATTTTACAGATTTACACAGAGAAGCTGAAAAACTACAGGAAACCAAATTATTGCACGGATGAATTCCCTTACCTCCACCACTTCAGGGAAGAGCTCGCAGAAGACTTTATCTTTTAAATTAAATGCTAAGCTTTGTGCAGCAAGCTGTCTTTTCTGTGGAGGAAACCAAAATCATCAGCAGTTGCATATAAATGAAGTTAATACACTTTAACTCAACTTCTGATTATCTCCCCACAAGGATGGTGCAAACGACCAGCCATGCAGTTTCTAACATTTAAAACTTCACACAACAGACATTTCTAGACATAAATTATGTTCTTAATTCTTCATCTTCTGGGATGAGTGTTCTGTGTCAGTGTGCCTGCTTGGCAGACACTTCAAAAGGAAGGAAGGAGAAAGAAAGTCCCAACCACACTGTTTATTAAAAGAGATTTGAAGTTCTCTAAGAAATCCTCTTCCCATGCCCACGCTACTTAAAATCAAACCAATTCATCTGCCTGACATCTATAGTAGGCAACAAGGTATTCATTTATGAGATATCTAAACGTGGCTGCTGTTGTTTAAACTTTGAGGTGACATTCAACACTCCCTCAGCTGACAAAAGGTACAAGCACAGAGGCTGGAGCTTACTGTGAACTCTGACGTCTCGATGCTGCCCAGGGTGGGGCCCTTCTCCACCATAAAACTAAGAAGGCCCGTCAAGATGGTCGAGACTGACCAAGCTGGATTCCATGTATCCGGGTGGAAATCAGTGATTGAAAGACACAACCTTCAAAAGGGTAAAACAGGCAGTGTGTGTTATTTTTTGCCACTAAAATTATTACACATTCTATATATTGCTAAGATGGTGTTAATTGCTTAAGTGTTAGAAGAAAATCCTTACCTTGTGTTACACTTAAACCTTCCATTAGGTGTAATCATATAAATACTAGGAGGTTTAAAAGGGAATTCTCTGGGGAATATTAGCTTCCCATGATAATAGCCACCTGCATTACATAAAGAGATGAATTACTTATTTTGCATGAAGATGAAGTCCTAAGCTGCTCCTCAAAAGGCGCCAAATAAAACCTTTTACTTGTCTCCTTCTCCCCCTCACACTAAAGAGATCAAGCTCATCATCCTGTGCCTCTAAAATACAGGAATAACGATGCACACCTGCATATTTGCTTTGGAGGCAATTCTCTCACATGCTTATTACAAACAGTGCTTGCTGCTGTCAGGTCTGTAATACACTTGAGGAAAACCAGCCAAAGTGTATTTAATAGAACACAAATAGATTAGTTTTCCAGAAACACAGCTAACTGCAAATATAATCCTATGAAGAATCCGACTTCAAAAAGCATTATGTGAGAGACTCCAGAAGACACTGGGAAATACAACAAATTAATAAGGCTTTTACATTCCTCGCTTTCTCCTGAGAAATTCACGAAGAATATATGCCCCAGGTCATGGAGAACATTTATGTGATAACAAAATGGGGTTTTTTTTAAAAATTATCTTGGACTCTCACATCTAAAGTGAGTTATCTGCTCCAAGACCTTTAGCAATTACTCAATAGGAAGTTATTGGTCTTCAGGTTAACCTGAAAGTTTTGTTAGAATCCTCGATAACAGAAAAATTACTAATAGCCAGGTTAACCTGAAAGTTTTGTTAGAATCCTTGATAACAGAAAAATTACTAATAGATAGTGGTAGCCCACAAGTCACTGACAGCTTTGAAACTGCACTAACAGTTTTTAGAGCTATTTACAGTAGTTATATTTTTGCCCATTTAAGCAGTAATTACTCAAGCATCCCAATCACAACACAAAGTACACCCACGCTTTTGCTACATGCTAACTTTTACCTTCATAAGGAGTCATTTCAGGTCCTCGTACAACATAGTGCCTAAAGAGGGAAATTTAAACAGTATGAAAGCCATCACACAATCCACCATCAATTAATTCCTCTAGAAAAATAAGAACCTATATCACTTTAGCAAAAGTTTCATACTCCACCTCCCAAAACCAATATTCTCATACAATCTGTAGGAGTGAGGGAGTCAGACTTGATGACCTAGAAAATCTTGTTCTCTCCACAAGTGCGTGAACAGTTCATTCTAATTCTTACCATTCAAGGATATTAGATGGGAGGGGCTCTGCACAGATATAAGGCACTGGATCTTTCTTAATTCGAAGGTAGTCTTGTTTAAGTCTCTGTGTTGCTGTCGTTGGTGCTCTCTTATTACTGTTGTTGCTCATCTAGTTTTTAGAAAATATATACAAACACAATCTCAATACAATCTTAACAGACACAGGGCTACTACGCTTCATTCAACACAGCTCCAGAGTTTTGCAAAATTTACTTTACACAGCCTCTTTTTTTTTTTAAATAGAAATTATATTACCATAACTTTTAAATAGCAAGAACCATGCAAAATTTTAACCCACTAACACACTCCCAAGAGACTCTGCATACTGCCAAAATGGGAAAATACTCCCAGAACACCACTGTTTAACTACCCCAGTGAAGTGCTACCCTCAAAACATGCTACACTGAAGAACCCACTTGGCCTCTTAATAACCAGCCCTGTGTTTAGGCTGCACACACATCATTATGACACTGTTTCAAAAGGTTAGGGGTTTTTTTCTACTAATTCATTTCCCTATTCAGTTTTAATACCTATAATGTAAATTTGCCCGTGATTTAAACTCATTTGCTGTTTCTGCATATAGAGTTATTTGAAATAAATAACAAATTAAAAAAACCCCACAATAACCTTACTACTGACTTCGAGGGCTGCACACACATCATTATGACACTGTTTCAAAGGGTTAGGGCTTTTTTTGACTAATTAATTTCCCTATTCAGTTTTAATATCTATAATGTAAACTTGCCCATGATTTAATCTCATTTGCTGTTTCTACATTTACAGTTATTTAAAATAAATAACAAATTAAAAAATCCATAATAACCTTACTACTGACTTTAACGTGGAGGATTTTAAATTAAATCTGCTGCCTGCTTACGAGTCAGTTGAATTTACAGAAGGGAACTTCTGAGCCAGATTATTCTCTTCCAGATAAACAAAGGCCTCATCCAAAATGAGACAAGTCAGTGTGGAGAAAGGAAACTCCACGCTGCTTACATACCAATTAACAACTGCTATTTAACTCACTTTTCCCCCAGAAAGGTAGCAAGTTACTTAGAAATCTAATGAAGCACAGAGAGGAAAGATTTTACAAAAAGCTTGTATAAAGAGATAAGACAATGCTTACAATATGACAGCAGCATTTGACAGAATGTGAAGAAAGGAAACTCCATGCTGCTTACATACCAATTAACAACTGCTATTTAACTCACTTTTCCCCCAGAAAGGTAGCAAGTTACTTAGAAATGTAACCAAGCACAGAAAGGAAAGATTTTACAAAAAGCTTGTATAAAGAGATAAGACAATGCTTACAATATGACAGCAGCATTTGACAGAAGAAGTATATTAAATACCTATAACTTTTTCAATTCTTTTAGTTCAAAAAGGTAGCCAAGTACCATTCATTAAGAATTAATATTCTAACCACAAGCACCAAATCCATGTGGCCAAATACTCTCAAAATAAACACATTTGACCCAGCTTTTGTCAGAATCACTGTAAATCGTTGTTTAAAACACACAGTATTTTTTTTTTGGAAGGAAGTCGCACATATTTTTAAGTCACGTCACTTTTCCCCCAGAAAGGTAGCAAGTTACTTAGAAATGTAACCAAGCACAGAAAGGAAAGATTTTACAAAAAGCTTGTATAAAGAGATAAGACAATGCTTACAATATGACAGCAGCGTTTGACACAAGAAGTATATTAAATACCTATAACTTTTTCTATTCCTTTAGTTCAAAAAGATAGCCAAGTACCATTCATTAAGAATTAATATTCTAACCACAAGCACCAAATCCATGTGGCCAAATACTCTCAAAATAAACACATTTGACCCAGCTTTTGTCAGAATCACTGTAAATCGTTGTTTAAAACACACAGTATTTTTTTTTTGGAAGGAAGTCGCACATATTTTTAAGTCACGCCTCTTGAAATCATAAAATTAAGAATTTTCTACAGGAGTCAGTTTTAACTTTGAAACACAGATTAAAGCATATCTTTTTAATTTAACACAATTACTTGGTTTTTAGCCTTGCTATAGGACACCTCACTCTGGACTGTAAAAATACACTGAAATATTTAACAGCACGATGTATAGCTATCGGGTTCTTAACTCAAAGCCTTATCTGAAAGAACATTTCCATCTTAGACGCAGAAGCTAAACAGCAACCCTTACAGAAGCCACGACCGCAATCCCCTACAATTACTTGGTTTTTAGCCTTGCTATAGGACACCTCACTCTGGACTGTAAAAATACACTGAAATATTTAACAGCACTATGTATAGCTATTGGGTTCTTAACTCAAAGCCTTATCTGAAAGAACATTTGCATCTAAGACGCAGAAGCTAAACAGCAACCCTTACAGAAGCCACGACCGCAAACCCCTTTTCCCACCGCGACAACACAATTTACCAGAATCAAGCAAAAAAAAAAAGCAATTCTCCGGGGTTTAGGCAGCCGAGCACCAGCAGCAGGATGCTCCCAAGCCCTGCTGGTTCCCTCTTCCCTCAGCTCCCTCACGGGCTCGTCCCGCCGGCCCAGGCCCCACTCACCTCTCCCTGCTGGTGCAGGCCCCTCCACGGCCGGGACGCCCCACCTGCCTGCAGCCGGCGGCCAAGCGAGGGAGGGGAAGAGGGGAGGGAAGGAGAAAGGGAAGGGAAGGGAGCGCCACAGGAGAGAGCGGGCAGGGCAAGGCCGGCGACCCCCCAGCCTCCCCGCTGCGGCGCCCGACGCGGCTCCCAGCCAAGATGGCGGCCCGGCGAGGCGGGGCCAAGGCACCGCTGGACTCTGCTTCCGGGAAGGAGCCGCCCCGCTTCCGGGACGGCAGTGCGTCAGACGCAGCTCAGCTGACTTCCGCTTCCGGCCGTTACCATGGCGGCCCGGGGGCTGCTGAGGGGCCGGGCGCGGCCCGAGTCCTTCGCGTTGAACGTGTGGATTTGTGTGTTTTTTTGCTGTAAGGCTCCTCTTTTCTTCAGATTCCCAGTGTTCGTAAAATGGATAAATCCAACCTCGTTTTCAGTCACTCGGCCATTCACAAAGACAGTATGTTTTGTTCCAGGATTCCAGCGGTAGGCCCGTAAAAATACAACAAATCATTTTGTGTATGATATTCCTGCATTTGTTCCTTCAGTATTGTTTAAGAAGAGAAAAGCGAGTTACTCCCTTTCAGTCAGGAAGCCAAACGTGACAGGAAGGTATAGTGTCTATTCACTTTTAATTTAATACGGCATATCCAGATCGGTTGAAGGGAAAAAACCTGCAAAATCTTTCTCCTTTGAAGGGAGCCCAGAGTTCTGCTCTGTCTTGGCTCAGTGTCGAGCACAGTGGTGCACAGGCCTCTCCTTTAAGGGATTATGGGAGATGCCTACACTTGAAAGATTAAACATTTTAATAACATGGGTGTTGTGGGGTGTTTTGTAAAACACTAAATTCCACCTGGCCTTAACACCATTCTTGGCACAATAAGCGTGTTGCATAAGTTACGCTAAAATCTTATTTACATGCCACTTTGTGCAAGACGGGGTTTAGCAGACGTCAGTCATGATGGTCCTTCTCTGAGGATTTCAGCCCAGGTTTTATTGTCAGGGCTGGGCTCATCGGTTCTCTTTGGTGAGCTGAGTCCAGCTCAAGACTGAGTTATACTGAATCTGAATACTTGTGTTTCCTGTTGTATTTCTTCACATGCAAAAAACATCAAAAATTAATAAAAATTCCTCTTCAAAAGACTAAGAAATAACCTGTTTGTGGTTAACCATGTTTTGGCATTTCGGTTGTCACCTACATACTGCTCTCTATCCCAGTTGAGAGTAACATTTTGCCCACTCCCTTTTCTTTCAGGGCTTTTGAAATTTGCAATCCGAATAATGTTTGTGAAAGTGAATTCATGCAGTTTGATTATCCAAGATTTAATTTTAAAAAAAATAATCATAAGGAAGAGCTTGGCTCCTGATTTATACATCTGTTCAGTGCTCTAGCTGCAGAGCAGAGCTTCTGTACTGTATTAATTAACTATTAGTATATATTTAAAAGTAGGTATTTAAAAGCCGGGTTGACATAGAGCTTAGTGACATGGTTTAGTGATGATTTTTTATCAGAGTTAGGTTGATGGTTGGGCTAGATGATCTCAAAGGCCCCTTCCAACCCAGACAATTCTGTGATTCCATGATTCCATGATATGTCCACATTTAAGGGAAAGTACCTCTCTCTCTGGGCTAATAATCTTCCTTTATTGCCTCAGGTGAAATGAAAAGGCAGAAAAGAAAGTGGTTGAGTTGCCCCAAAGAGTTTGCAACAGATGCTTAGACAGGACCTGGCAATAAAAGGCCAGAACCTTCCAACCCGGACAATTCTGTGATTCTATGATATGTACAAGAAAAGGCGGAAAAGAAAGTGGTTGAGTTGCCCCAAAGAGTTTGCAACAGATGCTTAGACAGGACCTGGCAATAAAAGGCCAGAATTTTTCTTATTGTTCCAAAAGCTGCAGGCGTCTTCCATGTGAATAGTTCCTGCAGTCACCACGGTTCTCCTCAGTCCTTGAGCCCTCCTGCACCGCTAGCCAACAGAGGGCAGTGGTAGCCCACAAGGTTTTTCAGCTCTTAGTTCTGCCTGTTGTCAGTAGGATATGCTGTAGTGCAGACTTTCATTCCCTGTCATGGGTTTGTGGAGGTTAATCAAGAGCAAGAAGGGGGGGGAAAATGGCCGTGATGTCAGTACCTATGGGCCAAACCCAGATTTTAAACTTTTTATCTACAAATTTGGGATTTCGAAATAGTGTGTGCTCATAGAATATCTCGCTTTTGTGTTTGTTTTTAGTGGGAGTATGTAGTTTTCATTTGTGTCCTAAGCACTGAGGCAGGGTTGTTGATGCAGTGACTGTCGTATTCAACCCCAGAGAGAGCCACAGTTGTGCAGCAAACTGAAAAGATGTTTGGTCTTACAGAACCCCGCTGAGAGATGTAACAATTTTTTCTGACTTAAGCTTCAAATATGGACAAGAAATATTTTTCTAGAAGTAGGAAAATGATAGAGATTTTAGGAAAAAATGCCAATCTGAAATCACGAAGAGAGAAATCAACCAAACAAAAATATTTTCAGTTTGCTGAGGGATATACAAATTTTCATTTCATTTCAAATGTCTAATATTTTTACCTCAGATTTCAATCACAATAACGAGATCTTTCATACACAAAGTGTTCACACGTCCCACCTGTAGCCACATCAAAACTTTTCAAGTTAGTGAAGTTTATCAAACCTTATCCTTTTCTTTAAACTATTTTAATCTTGGTGCCTTGAAATGCTTCAAGAAAAAATGGTTTGCTCCAGAAACAATGTACTAGTTGGTCTGTTTTGCTTTAGTCTCTTACACTCACTTGTCGTTATATCTAATCTGAGCTCGCTGTGTACAAATGCTTAAAGGTTTTGCAGAACAGAAGGAACTCCTTATAATAAATTATTATTATAATTCAAGATGAAAAACACTCTATAAATACAAGGTATTATTAGAATGCTGTATTAGCCTACATGTATTTCACCTAATAAATTCCCCATGGCAACTCATGCAGTATGATACATACCTAGTTTTATACCCTTTGACCTGAGGACAATTCCCTTTTTTTTTCTTCTGCCACACCATTTTGTCTTTTTTTTGTATTTACCCTGGAATTCCTACTAAGTCATCAAAGTCTAGAAATGTGAGAAACATGTGAACCTGGAGACTGTAATAAAGGCCCCAGAATGCTGAAGGGATTCCAGAGCTCCTATTTACACCTCTGTCATTCTCCTTCATGTTCCCCAACCCCAAAGTATCCCATGCATAAGTGTGTTGTCATTAACATTCCATTCATCTTTCTGGCATGTTATTCTCAACACTAATGATAGCGTAGAATGAGACTTCTCTCTCAGAGTAGTTTCTTTCTTCCCAGTTGTTTTCCAGCATGCAAATGAATCACGCTATAGAATTTCCTCTCTCTCTAAAGTCTCTTTGGTGTACTGCTATTGTGTCTTGAAGGCATATTTTAAACCTGGGCTTGGGAAGTGACTAGAAGCTCCAAATTTATGTTTTTAAATCATTAAATGCACCAAGTCAAGAAGTACTTACTGCTAAATTAGTTTGGAAAGTGATTAAGTCCAGGACAGAGACAAGTGAGACAGTTCACTATCTCATAAAGGTTGGAGTTGGTTTTTAATTTTATATGGGCCCCTCAGCAGGATCACATGTGTGGCTACAGGACATGAAAACATCTTTATGTACTTGTGAATACAGACCTTTTGTGTTACTCTTTAAAAATACATAGCTGTCTGACTTCCACAGTGCAGAAAATTTTCCTTTGATTGTAATCATAACAGAAGGATTGCAAATTTTCAGGTCAGATACAAGAAACAGAAATCAGAATTTGTTCTATTTGTGGGTGCCTTTGGGTAAGTCCTTTGCTTCAATTTCTCCCTCAAATGAAAGTGGTACTTTATGCACCACTCCACGCGTGCAGTCAAATGAGTATTTTGAGGCTGACCTTGGTGGATGAAGAAATAATTTGAGAAAGAAAACGCACCCCGAGGAATGTAGTGATGGTTAATTAGCGTTCACATATACTCAAATGTAATCTTGTCCTGTAAATGTGGCAACGCTGTGGCTGCTGAGCGCCTCTGTTTAGGTTGTCCAGAAAGACAGAGAACACCTGGAAGAACAGCCACGTCTCAAGGCTGCTCAGAACTGAGGGTGCTGATGAAACGGAAGGTTCTTGTATCCCAGAAAGACATTTGATATATCCTTGAGAAGGCAATTTCCCCGAGTCCTATTATCAACGGCCACGTTACAGTGGGAGCAGGAGAGAACCTAACTGCATAACTCATATGGACTCAATGGGCAGGTTTTTTTCTTTAGTTACCTCATGGGTTGACCATAGAACCCATTGCTGCTTCAGATAACCAAGATAGGGCTCTCAGCTTAAGTAGTGAAAAAAACAGGAATCTTTACTTCTACCCTGAATATACAAAACTGCCCCCTAGGCCCTTTACTGGAGTTTCAGCCTCTGAAGCCTGGGGAATTGGAAGATCAGTCAGTTATAACGTGCTCTCTTACTTTATATGTCCATATAATGTGTTCCCTGACATGTAGCACAGTGAGACTTCTGATCTATTCATTTTGTTTCCTCTCTAAAGCCACTGACAATTGGCACCATGTAAATATTTTGGATGTACAAAGGCAGAATTTGCTAACTGTGAAGAGCTTACTGCCCACAAGCACAAGAAGCATTAGAGAAATAGTTGCCCAGGGAATAAATGGAAGAGTTTCATGTGACCTCTCATGGCTGACAAACTCCTAGAACAGGGGGCTCAAATCCTGCCTTGCAGCTTGCTCCATGACCAGATGCAACCAAGATTCAGAGCGAGCAAAACCCATGGGAATCAGTAAAGGAGGAGGTTTGGGAGTGTTGTACCAAGAGTGATGATGGTGGAGATTATGAAGGCCAGTAAACATGAGGGTGGCCTTGGACAGAGGGGCAAGAAGCTGGGATGGAACGCAGAAGGAGGGCATAAACAGAGAAAAAGTATTCATGGGCCTCAAAACAAAGGGAACTGTGGCAATCTTGATCTGAATGGGCTGGAAGAATCATAGAATAGTTGAGGTTGGAAGAGACCTTAAAAGATCACATTGTTCCATCCCCCTGCCCTGGGCAGGGACACCTCCCACCAGACCAGGTTGCTCCAAGCCCCCTCCAACCTGGCCTTGAACCCCTCCAGGGATGGGGCAGCCACAGCTTCTCTGGGCAACCTGGGCCAGGCTCT